CAACACCTGCAAGGCCTAGTTGTGAACAACACTTGTATAATTACAAGTGAGCAGTGAACAATCAAGAACAAACACTCAACAGTCAGCACAACAGCAAGCCAGTAACTTTCATAGTCTCATATCCTCACACAATATCACAATTCATCCACTTAATAGTTAATACCTAACCGCCAACAGTCACAACAATCGACACTCAACACAAGAAGAGTAAGACTCGAAGTCTCGAGCTTCTAACTTCTGAAATTTGAGCTTGTTCACGTTTCACCTATTAGACAACCAACAAATGAAATTTAAAGGAGGAAATTTTAGACAGTTATGCAGAACAAACTGTTAAAAATGAACTCTACGTTGCGAAAATCATCCATTAGACCAGAATATAGTACACAAATGCACTGAATTCGTATTTGAATCCAACTAGACAACAATATGCACTTCTTTAGAGTAACCGAAGCTTGACAATCGACTAACAATCCAATATTTTTTTTTTTTAAACTTTGAATAACGAAAATAGACATACATGAATCATTATGATAAATGGAACGAATAAAAACATTACAGGCTTAAGGACTGAGCTGCCATCGTTAGTCGTTACATTGCAAGTTGTGTCCTCGCCTTAGTGACTGGAGTAGTCGACGCCTCGCCGAATGCCTGAGCGACTGGAGTCAAATCGTGACTCGTTGGTTAGTCATCACCTCGCTTGAGTTTGGAAATTGGAGATACTTTGGAGTGTGGAATTTGGAGAAACGAGGGGAGCAGCGAGAAGTCGAGATGAAGACTGAAGAGTTTTCTAACCTAAGTCCCTAGCTGAGAAATTAGAAATTAGGGAGAAAAAGTAACGGGTCTTATCGAAGTATCGGGTACCTGAGTTTTTTTCCTTCCCAACTCGATTCCGAACTGTTAATCCAATAAAAAAAATACTGAATCGATCCAAACCAATTATCCAATATCCTGACCTATTAGCTCAATAAATAAAAAATTGATTCAAATTAATGATTTGACCCGATTTTTGCACAGGTTTACATGAAAGAGTACAAATAAAAGAAGGATTATTGGACATTATGTCCCAACATCCTCCTGGCAATATAAACAATGTAACTGGATACTGATTGTGGTTCTTTAGAATGGGTAATAGGGCATTGGATTGATTGGATTAACCGACTATTCTAAATGGGGTGGAATATTGGATTAAAAATAAGAAATAGGATGATAGTTTTAAAAAATTCTGATAATTTGGGTCAATTGTGGGAATTTCATCAAATGATGGATAATTTTGATGAAATTAGTATTGAAAGGGGTAAAATTAACTTTTTTTTTAAATTGTTGTTTTTCCAAAAAAAAAAATGTAATTTAAAATTGGAGGAGAGTTTTGAAAAATGTTTTCATTAATTTTTGAACGGAAGTCATTTTCCTTAATTTTGAGGAAAATGAGTTGATTGAAAAACATTTTCCAAAACTTTTATTCCAACTAAACATGAGAAAATTGAAAAACATTTTTCAAAAAATATTTTCGTTCATACCAAATATAATCTAAATAAAACTTAATTATTTTATTAGATAAACTTTAAAATTGAATGACCTTTTAAGATATTAACTGCAATTTTCTTCAACTTATAATATAATTAATCTAATCAAGTAATATGCAAGATTACGAAAGAATGAATGGCAAAAACATTAGCTTGACAAACACAAGTTCACAGTGAGCACATCAGTGTAGCAAATGAACTAATTAATTAGCACATCATCATAAAAAATTAATGCACAAATAACATACTAACAAAGAAAGTAAAAAATTTCTATAATATATAATAACGTTAAAGAAAATCCAAACCACTTAATACTCTTGTTTAAATACACAAATAAAATTAAAGCACAACCATTATGAAAATCAAAGCAAACCGTACCAAAGACAATAACATATACAAATATTTGACCCAATAGAATTTATTTAGGATTAATTTTTTTAAAAAAATAATAACTTATTTTAGATAATTTTTTTTTAATTATTATCATTTATAGTAATATATAACAATATTAATAGTAACATATAACAATATTAATATTAAATTTTTCTCTCTCGCCTCTTTTTCTTTTTTCTATCTCAACTTTTAAATTTTTCTCTTTCTCGCTCCTTTCTTTTAGTTGTTATTTCTCTCTACTTTCTTTTTCTTTTTTTCTTTTTCGTTTCTTTTTGCTGCTAGTTTTCCTTTCTGTCTTTTGCTTTCTTTTTTTGGTCTTTATTTCTCTATTTTTCAAGGTACATTAGTCAATAATTCATAGGATCAATAAAATTTATATCAATAATTAATTAATTAATCAATTAAAAAATAATTTAATCGTAACAAATGAAGAGACATGATAAATTGCAAAATAAAAAAACTTGAATTAAAAATGTATACACACATTAAAATTGAATTAGAATAGAACTATACATGAATGCAAAATGTTGCAAATGAAAAAGCATTCTATGTCTGTAAACTGAATGAATTTGTAATAATAATGAATTTAACAAGTAATTCAATCATAAAAAATCAACAAATAAACTGCAAAATAAATTAAAAGTGTATTGCACAAACATTAAAGTTGCATTGGAAGAGAGAATTAAGCATGAATAAAAAACGTAACCAATGAAAGAGTAGACAATGGTTTATAGAGTAAATTAAACTTTTATCAATAATGAATTAAACAAGTAATCTGCTAGTAACAAATAAATCAAAAAATTGCAAAATGCATTAAATTGCTTTCAAATTGTATTACATAATATTAAAGTTGAATTAGAAGAGAGAATTAAGAACGAATGAGAAATGTAACTAACGAAAGACAAGACGACGATCTATAAACTGAATTAAACTCAATGATTCATGAATAAAACTTATATATCATATATATCTTATAAATTATCTTTCTTTTATCATTGAGAAAACGAGTGATGGTTGTAATATGCATTGAAAATGTATTGTGTATATCTTATATATGTATCATAGTGTGTTACCTAAATTATTCTTGTTGTTATCGGTAAGAAATGAGTGAAGTGTGCAATACGTATTATAAATGTATTATTCATGAATAAAACAAGTACTATATGTGTCTTATAAATTACTTTTGATTTATACCACTAAGTGTAATATGTATTAAAATTATTATGCATATATTATAAGTGTGCATAAATAAACTGCAAAATGAATTAACTTATTAAAAGTACATTATACAAATATTAAATATGAATTAAGCATACATAAAAAATGTAACTAATGAAACACTAGATAGAGTGAATTAAACTTATATCAATAGTGAATTAAAGAAGTAATCTAATAGTAACAAATAATAAACTACAAAATGAATTAATTTTGCATTAAAAGTGTATTACAATATTAAAAGTTGAATTAGAAGAGAAAATTAACAATAAATGAAAGACGTAACTAACAAAAGACAAGACAATAATCTATAGATTGAATTAAACTTGTATATCCTCTGTCCCTATTTAGTTGTCCACTTTAGAAGGGAAAAACATATTAAGACACAAATTATCATCATAGGTTAGTTACAATTTTACCTTTAACTTAAAAGATTATGTAACTCCCTGAGTATAATAAGTGTATTTTCTAGTTCCAAAAAGCATGCATTACAACTTAGTAGTACTAGAAATTTTCTAGAATTAAATAAGGGCATATTAGGAAAAAAATTATTGTCCTTTCTTGATTTGTTAAAATGAACAAATAAATAGGGATAGATATAAAAGGAAATATGGACAAGTAAATAGGGACAGAGAGAGTATTATTTATGAATAAAAGGTGTATTATATATGTCTTATACATTATTTTGATTTGTATCACTAAGAACATGAGTGATGTTTGCAATATGTACTACAAATGTATTGTGCATATGTTATAAATTATTTTGATTTGTATCACTAAGAATATGAGTGATATTTGTAATACATATTACAAATGTATTGTGCATATGTTATAAATATATTACAAGTGTGTTACTTAAATTATTTGATTGATATCACAAGAAAAGGAGTGAAGTTTGTAATATGTATCATAAAGTATTGTTCGAGATTTTAATACAATTCTAATACAATTATGAAACATATCTAATATAACTTTAATACAATTGCGATACAGTTTCATAAATTTCATGTTATCAAGTTTCAATCTAAAATTTCTCCTACAATCAATTATAAACTTAATCAAATCCTCTTAAAATTAAGATATAAACTCTAAAACGATATTTTTTAAAATTATTTATAAAAATAATTTGTCCAAATTAATCACAAATTCGTAAAGTTCAAATAATGAATTCAAAATTTAAAATTTTATAATGACCATCAATTAATGGTGAACTCTTATTTCTATATTTTTAAAAATTTAAAGTTCTATTTGAGAATATGATATAGTATAAATATTTGACTTTTCTCTTTCTCTTCTCATCGTGTTTTTAAGTAAAAATAATGAAATATGAGCAAAAGTTATTTAAAAAAAGTTATTTAAGTGAAATTTAAAGAAGAAGAATAAAAAAATTAAAAAAAAGAAAGGAGGAAGATAAATAATGAGAGGAAAGAGAGGAAGAAGAAAAAGTATAAAAAGAAGAATAGAACGAATAGAAAAAAGGCTGAGAAAAAAGCGATATAATTTCATAATTTTTTAAAGTATTATATTTAATTAAAAAAATTATATTATCATAAATAATAAATATTGTTATAATATTAATATATATATGAATTTTTTTATTTTATTTTATCAGAGATGATAGAAATGTATTTGGAGGGATAGGAATATAGAACAATGATACATTATAAAAAAATATTAGATCGAAAAGATGCCATATAAAGTGGTAACAGGTAGTTGTTGTGTGTTATAAGTTGTATTCAAATATTGCAGGTAAGTAAGAAGATACAAAATTGGACATACGTGGAAGCAGGAGAATGAAGTGGCAAATTGCAAAAGCCACGTTCTCTTCATGCAACAATGTTTCAACATCCTTTAAATCACGCTTATTCCTCTTATCATTTTCCACACACAAAAAAAATATTTTGATTTGAAAAGAGAAAGAATAAAAATAAAAATGCCAGGCCTTACTATTGGAGATGATCTTCCTAATCTTCAAGTAGAAACGAACCATGGAAAGATGAAACTTCATGACTATGTTGGCGATAGCTACACCATTCTATTTTCTCATCCAGGTTAATTTATTTTAATTTTTATGCACCACCTATAGTAATTTTTTTTATACCTATACTATATTAATGATTAAAATAAGTTACTTTCCCTCTTCTTTATTTTATTTATATAAACTCTCCTTGATGGTGATATGACATATTGCTTTCTTATTTTAAAATTTTGAAAGTTATTTTTTATTTCCCATTCATAAAAGAAAGAAGTATTAATTGGAGCTAGGTGGTTGCGATAGTATCAGTGGCCTTAGATATTTTTTCAAGCGGTGTCACCTATTATATATACATATATATATATATATACATATATTCCAAAAGGTAAAAAAGAAAATATATATTAACTTAAATTTTCATTTTTAAATAATATCATTAAAAATAATGGAGTTAAATATTTTTTTTATAAATATATATGAATAGAAACACTGTTGGGGATTCAAACTCATGTCCCTTAGTAATAACAATTAACTAAGGACTATCTGCGCCACACATATACTTGTGTAAATATTTAACACTTTGTACTATGTGATCATTGATATTTTTTTGTTTTAATTAAATTAAATATATATTTTTCTAACGCAAAGTCGTGTCCCGTGACACACTTCCGTTAGTGAGGTAGGGTAAGAAAAAAAAAATCTAAAAGCTTTAAAAAATAAATATATATTATTTTTTTTTGGGAAGGGGCTAGGGGAAAAATATTTTATTTTTATAGAACAGATTTTTTTAAAATTTTTTTTGGGGTTGTTGTATCTTCCTAATGTGGTGTTTGGATGCATGCAGGTGATTTTACTCCAGTATGCACGACGGAGCTAGCTATGATGGCTGCTTATGCTAACAAGTTCGCTGAGAGAGGAGTTAAACTTCTGGGACTTTCTTGTGATGATGTTCAGTCTCACAATGAATGGATCAAGGATATTGAAGCTTATAATGTACCTACACTCACAGTTTTAATTTCTTCCTTACAAGTAGCTTCTTTTTTATTAATAATAAATATTTTGCAGAAGGGACACAAAGTGACATACCCAATCATTGCCGATCCGAATAGAGAGTTGATTAAGCAACTCAACATGGTGGATCCTGATGAGATAGATTCCTCTGGCTATAACCTTCCTTCTCGTGCGCTTCACATCGTGGGACCTGACAAAAAGGTATTTGATTGAACTTATTATTATTGATTAGTTCGAAAGTTTCTTAATAGTTTAAACAAATGTGTGTAGATAAAGCTGAGCTTTCTGTATCCAGCAAGCACTGGAAGAAACATGGATGAAGTGTTGAGGGTGGTAGAGTCGCTACAGAAAGCGGCAAAGTACAAAGTTGCAACCCCAGCAAACTGGAAACCGGGAGAACCGGTAGTGATAGCACCGGCTGTATCCAATGAAGAAGCAAAGGAGATGTTTCCACAGGGTTTTGACACTGCCAATCTTCCATCTGGCAAGGGTTACCTCCGCTTCACAAACGTTTAAATATCTTTCTTCCAGCTTTTTACACTCTGTGCACTAGTTATATTTGGACTTTGATGTTCCATATCGCTTCTCTTCGTTATATAATAACAAATAAAGTTTATTGTGTTTTTTGGGCCTTCTCTAAAAATGCATTTCAGTTGCAAAATGCTATATCTAAATAAAGTACATGCCACAAATAGATTATTCGATACTGTAGTAGTGGTGAGATACATCAAGCATCTAATCATCGGTACACGCTTGTTGCCTTGAATTTTCATACATAAAAGAGAAATAATGATAAAATCAGTTCCTTTATTTTTATCTTTAATCTAAAGAGTGCCTTCAGATTTGTACAAAGTCAAGTCTCAACGCATGATCTTCAATTCTGCTATATCAACTCTTGAAACTTGCTTTAGGCGATAAAAGCCTTTAATAATAGAAACAATTTTTTTCTTTTCCTTGGTTAACGAAATCTTCGTGTTATTTTAATCTTTAACTTCTCGTCATAATTTAATTGTCGTAATTGGCACCCGTATTACCCTTTCGGTGGCAGAATCATTATACAATTTGAATCAACAAATTTTATGAAAATTAAGACATTTAATGATACAGAAATAGGTTAAAAAAGGAAATAGGTTCAAAATGCAGAAATTATATAGAGTTTCAATAAAAATGCAGAAATTATATAGAGTTTCAATAAACACCAAAGGTTCAAATAACCAATTAATGCGAAATAATAATTTCTAGAACTCAAAAGTCATTGTACTAAAATTTCACTCTAATGACAAGTCTAAAGGTGTACAACTCGAAATTAAAGAACAACTCAAGCAATAGTCTGAGTCCGAAAATAGTGAACTTAAACAAGAAAGATCTATGGCAATATGAAAGAACTGACTCACTCTTAAATTCGATCACACTCAATAATCACCTAGCTGAAGTCTATCAATAGCCGCATGAAGATGTCATGTACTCAACAAAAAAATAAGTAAGTGCACTTTCAATACACAACCATCGTGTACTAGTACACAATCTATATCAGAATCACAACAAGGTAGACAAGTGACAGTATGAGTAGACGGTGCTCTTCTCTTTCCAGGTTCATAATCGGTGCTATTGAATCTACAGTTAAATCGCCAATTTTTTGAAAAAGAGTTTCGACCCTATCTTTCTTCTCCAGTTGATAATGCATATTGAACTTCAACCAATCTCACTTACTCAAGAACTGCCTTCTGATAGACTAGCTTCCCCCGGGCTACCATCCTTGCGGTCCATTTCGAGTTGGCCCATTCCCCTTCGACCGATCGTAAAAAGAGAAGAACTGAGTATGCTATGCGCAGACTGACTTGCTGCTTGTTTTCTTTGAGGAATTTTGGAGTGAAGGGATATATAT